CATGCCTCCTGCTTCGACGAGGTTGTCGCCAGCGTGCACAGGCCTCCGTTCTGTTCTGTTCGTAAACATAATATGATCAGAAGGCGGAAAACAGTTGCTGGGCCATCGCACATTGCCCGTACGACTGTCTCCGATGCCTCCACGGTGCTTCGGTACCGAAAACGCTTGCCAACATTAAAATGGCGACGCTCTCAGTGTTGCCAGACCACAAAGCAATTTCGCATAAGGCCTATTACACTACCCTAGGGTGCGTACATGTTTCCGCTCCACTTTAGGGTGGCGCCAACCTCTTGTTACCCTTTTCCAGATCCTCTCCCACCGCCAATTTTTCCTACTTCTTAGTCCGCGAAACGTACACAACATTGAGTTTCTGTAGTCTCGACACACCGGCAACACTGTGAGGCCACTTCCGTTTCCGTTCATAAAAGGAGTCGGAGGCTCAGCGGGATGGCGGTATTCGTGGCTGTCGCTCTCTTTATCCGGGTGTTTCATATATTGAAGTTGCAAGCAGGAAGTGTGCGTTCCTTTTATCGAAACACGAGTTCCCGCGACAAAATGGAACGCAACAGACCGGCATCGCACGCCGAAACCTCGCCGTCGGAACGAGAGCGGCGAGCGCCCCCTAGCCCTAACAAGGATTATATATAGCGGTGTAGTCCGAGCGCACGGCCGGCGAGTGTGAAAAAATGGTCGACGAAAACAGCGGAGGTTGCCATGGTAACGAGGTAGGCAACACTGGCTTGTCGGACACAGGTACCACAAACGTTGTAGCCATCCTAAACAGCGGAGCGGCGGAAACATCTAGGCGCCCTACACTACCCCCTTTAAGACACTGTACACTTCCTCTCCCGTTCACAATATAATTGCAAATGCCTCAACTGATTTGGGTTCAACTTCGTTACCTAAATGGCAGTGTTGGTTGTCAGGTGGGGCCACGCAACTTTCGGCACGGAGGCCAAATAAAACGAGCTACTGTGCTTATTCTTGGCCTCGTACACCCTTGATAAACTCATCGATCCATGGTGGGCGTCGACTTTTTGACACACCTCTTTTTTTTTCCGCAAAGAAAATTTTCAAAAGCCCGCTGCTCATTCTTGTTCGTTGAAACTTGAAACATACACAAAATACGGGCCCACCGGAAGTAACGCAAAATACGGTCCCACCGGAAGTACTCTAGAGTCCAGGAAGTCCCCCATTGCTCGTTTATGTTTCAATAGGTATACAATGTACAGGGAGTTCCCTAGAAACAAGAGCCGTGTTTTTCGGCTCGGGTAAATAAACTAAGCATCGCAGTCAGCTCAAACTTCATGCGACTGTGACGCGAGCGGTTGGAAGAGCGCTCGAAAGTTTGAGAACATGTCGTCACCTGAATCAAAAGATAAGTGAGAAAACGGAAATTTCTTTATGAGCCGACAGCAAGCTAAGCCTAATATTGTCAATACGAGAAATGAGACAGCGAGTACCTGAGGTACCTATTTTAGTAAAAAAAAAACTTTGCAGAAAAAAAGAAAACAATAACTCCTTTTTTTTTTTTTTACTGAGATAGATGCTACATGCTCCCACCGTGCCATTCATGTCTTGTTTTTACGATATTAGGCTTAGCTGGGACGTCAACTCAGAGAAATTCCGCCTTTCCTCGATTGTCTTTTGGTCGAGATGACGTCATGTTCTTGGGCTTTCCCGTTCCATCCCAGCCACTAATGTCACATTCTTACGAAATTTAACCTTTCTGCGATACTTAGTTTACTTACCCGGGCCAAAAAACGATGTTTTTGTTTAATAATAAAATGCTTAACCTCGATCTTTTAGAGATCAGGGATCAGTTAATATCAGTGGCTCGGTCCCGCAAGCAGACTCCCGAATAGAACGGTTCAACAATGCCCATCTTTCCATCTACATTCCCTGCAATTATCTAGGTTTCGCATTCAGTCCTGCTCTACGCAATTTCCGGCGTGTATATTTCCTCTAAAAACCCGGAGCGCCGCTCACTGCAACCCACAAACGACGCACCAAAAATGACGAAGGCGCAAATTCTTTTTTTTTTTGTCTACCCAATAATATTATTTTTATTGTAACTGTGATTATAACGTGAGCATGCACAACGTTGTGCTCAGTGTGAGTGTCACAACTTATTTCTGTGTCATGAAGCTTTCTTAGCTTTTCATTAACTGAAACCTCTCACTGATTTCAAGGATTGGACCGCAAGAGGAAATATGTCAATTTTTTTTTTTTTTTAGAACAACCTTGTCTTTAGGCATTATCATTAATTCAAAACCGCCTAATAACAATCTTCTCTATTAGAAAAACACCAATCTTCGTTCTTTTTTTTTTTTTTTTTTCCCTGTGAGTTTGGAAACGAACACCTGCAAGGGGCACGGGACCGCTCTTATCAAAAATATCAAGCAAATGAAGAAAGTCACGATGATCCCCGGCATCGTGTAGAAAGTATACCTTCATGACTTCACTCATCTAGACTCTTCGCTCTGCGCTCTTTTGTTCTACCTGCCCTTTTCTCTTCCTGCGTGTTCTGTGCTTTGTTTTATCATGTTGAAGTACCAACTAGCTCAAATCACAACTTAACGAAATTAGATGGCTGTTTTTGAGCACAGAATGTGTTTCATCGTCCTGTTTTCATGGAAATTAGTAACATTTCTGGTGTACTGCTTCGGTGTAACAAAAGAAAAAAAAAAAGAAAACCGACATCAAAAGCCTTACATCCTTACGGAAGCGTATAAAGGAATTTTCAGTCTCCCTGCAGGACTTGAACTCACCACTTTGAGATTTTGAGCCGCGCTTTAGCGACTGAAGTAGAAAGACACGGCGTTTGTTCTCGACGCAGAGGAGACCCTTTCTCGCGGTGTTCGATGGCCGCACGCATCCCGGTCTTGAAAAACGTGCGGGCATGTCATATGCTGCGCCATCTCTCGGTGTTTGTCCGCAATGGAAGCCAATCTTGGACCCACTTGCTTTGTAGCGAGGCAGTGCCCTTTAGACGCCTCTCTTATTGATCAGAGTGGAAGAAGAGAAGTGGGAGCTGATCGAGAACGTAAAAAAATGCCAGAAGGAGGAGCCCACAGACGAACGCCGATAAGTGGCTGGACTGTCACAGATTCTATGCTTACCAATCTTTGTCAACAAACCAAAGCGTGTACATTTTATCTTGTTTTTTTTATTAATTTGAATTAGGTATTGACTGAACCGTACTACGGATGTTGCAAGCGATGGTTATAGGTGAAAATATTGACCAAGCAACATTATTGTGATATTGAAGAAGTATGAACGGCAAGAGCAACATAACGACGGCCTAAAATTTTCAATGACTATAGTTCATCAAAACAACCTTTTGAGTTACTTTTTTTTTTATCTAGCTCATTGTTTTGCTTTGCAGAACACCAAATCAGTGTCTAAAGGTCGTCTCATTAATGAGTGCCAGACCCAGTACGCCAGCGGCAGCAATCGTTTGAATTTAAATTTGAGAAATTTCCTGCGGATGGTCAGTGCTCATCGCCGTCGCCAGACTTCAGAGGGCTCATCGTACCACCGCGTATTCTTGGTTCCTCTTTTCCAATCGCCACTTATCTATGCTTTCAAACTTTGCTTTGCCCAGGGGGACAGTTCCCGCCGTATGGGTCAGGCGCGAAGTAGTTGGCTGACAAGTGCAGCCCGCCAAGAACCCCAACCACCAGTAAGAGCCTCCCATTGCTTCAAAGATGGGTTTCGGTTACAGAATCCCGTAATCAGCGCTCTAAAATAAATTACAATGCGTCTATTTTTCTAAGAGCAGTTGCAAGAGCCAATCGCTGAAATCTACGCAAGACACTCGGCGAATGAGAAGGCTGAAAATAATGTTAGTGCTATAAAAACTAGCCTGCGCAGTGACACCACGGTGTTTAGAACGCGTTTCCAAATGGTGTTCAGCATCCTATTCGGGGAAAAAGGCGTCTGCCTCTTGCCCTGTGGCAACGTTTTTAGGTCAGCTCAGTTACGGAACCGCTCAAAGACGCTGCATGCACGAGCAGTAACTCCCCCCCCCCCCCCCCCCCCCCCCTCACTCACCACGACTCGCGTCCCGTCGAGCCGCCGTCCCATCTATAGTATCCGCCTACGGGGCGGCCGCCAGGAGGCTTGGTCGGAGAGGCTGGGCGCTAAAACATAATTTCTCAGAAACAACAAAAAGTATTTTGTACATTTTTTGTATGTTAAACAAATGATGTTAATCGAACTCTTGGCTATTTTGAAAGTTCCGGGCACCACTGCCCACATTGCTTTTCACGGCCCTCGGTACGGCCGTTCTTGCATGAACTGGAGACTTGGCCGTTTAATTGAGACGCAACATTACGAGGCTCTGGAAATTTAATAAAAGCAATTCAATTATCAGTCATAGCAGAAGAAATTAAAAACGTATTGTAGCTTACACCCGAATCCAAGTTAACTAAACAAAAAGAAATATCTCAGTCTCTTTTTTTGGACTCAAAATTGCGTCTTTAAATATTTGTGCTGTAATGTAAGATAGAGAATATTGTTACGTAATTAGGCGCCAATCAAAATTTTGTGATAAGCAATGATATTGTTTTACAACGTTTTCTTCTTTTTTTTAGCTGCATAGGTTTTATGCAAATTTCGAACACGATATCAACAAAAATATATTTTTTTTTTACGAATATATATATATATATACTTTAAAAGATTTTTTATTTAAACTAACATTATTCTACATATCCCAGAAATTAAAAAAAATGCCGGGTCTCCTTTGGCATGGAATAACCCTCCCGTTATTCGCCAAGGTCTTTCCGTATCTTGCAGCTTTTGGCTCTACCGAATGCTTTAGACGAAAATAAAATCACTCGATATTTTTTTTAGATTAAATTACGCGAAATTCATTAATTGAGGTGTCCGCGCTCAGCGAGACTGTATATTACACATGCGTCTGCAAAGAGTATAGTGCATTTCTTCGTATATTTAAAGTGAAATCCCTGTACTGTTTGAAAAGATGTTGCCACCTTTTTCAGAAGAGGGTCAGGATCGGTTTCGTGGGAAGAGAAGACGCTGATGCCCAGGTAGAACGTCATGATGGCAAAACTTAAAATGAAGGCTATGATGTCCTGGAACCGTGCCTTCACAATGCCGCTGATGATGAACCAGGCGTTGAAAACTACAAGAGATAGTGGGGAAGGTTAGAGGTAACGTAATATCGCGGCATGAAAAATAAAGATTAGCAGCAGAATGCGATATGTTAATAGCGTTCCGATTTTTGAACTGGTTTGAATGCCCAGAATGATTTTTGATGAGTCACTTCTTTACTCGAGAAACAGTAATCCAAACGACGACAGGTGTGACCATCTAGGTGTGACCGCAAACCAGTGAGCGTTTCTAATGAGCTAAGGAAACACAAAATATACGACAACTGAAAACAAAGTAGCCATTCAAAAAAGTAATGAAACGACGGTTGTGAAGGCCAACGGAACATCAAACTTGGTCAGATATAGTCAGGTTATGTTTGGGAAGCTTATGTTAGGGTAGAAAACCTGTCAGAAATCTTTTTAAGCGAACAGCAACACAAAATTGTACCGATTTATTATTTAGGGACATCTTATATATTTCAAAGCATTCATTTCGGTAAACAAATTATTTTAAGCGGAATAGTAAATCATATCACTTTGTATCTGGACGCCTTGATGAGTTTATAAAAAGTGTACAACTGTAAGAAATGTATTAATCTGTGTAGTGTGCCTTCTAACATTGTCCTCGACATCACGCAATCATATAGTTCACGCACAATATTAATATGAATATATAGTAATGAGTATATATTCTAATGTGTGAGGATTGCGCGTGGAAACACTACAAAAACTCGTAATAATGTTGACAGGTTGAAGTATTCGTGGTCGCCCTAGCGCCTCAAATCTTTAAAGCCCTCAAGAGCGAATCGGTAATAACAAATTAGGTTCTACAGAAACTCTGAGATAGGACGTCACCGAACGCAAGATAATTCTATATGACTGTGTTTTTAATCTACTCACAATGCGTATGATAAAACAAAATCTTTTAAAGTCTACCTATAACCACACCTTAGGGTAAATGTATTAAAGCTGCTGTTCTGATTAGTTCGACACGCAAAGATGGGAACCAATCATGTTCAATGCCATTGGCATGCTACTTCACGAATACAAAGGGGCACGCGGGAACTATTTAGTACTTATCCCCTTCCGTTCCGCTGTTTCTTCCATAAACTATGCGAAAAAGATTTCTTTCTGACCCGGCCAAAACAACTAAATTTTGAACAGCTCATTTCGCGTCAGTGTGGTCTTTTAGTTAAACTGCACTCGTAGGCTTAGCTCTTTCGCACTAATGTGTTTCCGAGAGTATTGGATTCAGTAGGAACTGTGCATTATGGTAAAGCTACTTGTAATCAGGTGAGTCAATAGCTTGAGTGTAAAATTGTCTTAAACACCGATTTTTGATGTCAAGATCTCTATTTCTTGACACAAATAGTTAAACATACAAATCTCAATGAATTATCTCTCATGACTCCACCCCAAGTGCTTTGCTGCGAATAAATAGTGAAGACAACTGCACGAAACTTTTCACTTCCCGTTCTTGAGCATTTTCAGTATGTGCAACGAAGTTTTCCAAAAACGTTTTAAAACGCTACGGATTTTTACAATTGGACGTATAGAGCTCAACGAGGAAACGTATGGGGCGGTCTTGCTAAGACGGAAAATAACTTTTTAAAGACACTTCAGATAAAGGAATCGTTCCAGCAGAATGACGTTATCGATCGCGGCGTACATCGGATTAGGTATGCAAACTGGTAATCATCCAAACTGACGATCTAAAACAACAAAATAAACTTTGACGTAAAAATTCTAACTGGCACATTCCAATGACGGTTCTGTTACCCGTGGTCGGATTATGCCACAGCAGTTGCGAGAATTCCGACAACTAGATTCTTTTGTGCGTAATAGACCCTTTTCAAAAATTTGTCGAGCAACATTGGCGATCGCCTCCGCTTGGACATGAAGCGCGTGATTGTATCCGAGTCCTCGCCGAACGCTGACGTCACGCTTGTTTTTCGATACGAAATGAGCCGAGTTCACTCCGAGCGCTGACGCAGGCCTCGTGTCCAATGCATGCTCAGAATAGGTGAGCAAGCAATGGCGGACGGGCGTCGGCGCGGACTTTTGAAAAGGGTCCATACGCTGGCGCAGATGGGCTGCCTAATTTCCGAGATACCGAAACTAACAGAAAAAAAGATAACAAAAAAAAAAAAGACCCGAAGGCTCAGCGCACAAAGCGGCAGCAGAATAACGAGAGCCTCTTCTACGCCCACGTGACCCCAGTGCCTGTATATACGGGAAGGCGTTACGTATTGGAGAAAACGACCAAAAATAGCGTTCCTTATATATACATATATATATGTATAAACTTTTAGTCGAATTTCGTGGGCATTTAACCTTTTTTATGACTTCATGGGTAGGGAAATGTCCGAAAAATTATCAGGAACGAAAAAGGGGAACAAATGTGATTGCGGCGATTTGACACGCCGTTTGATGCGAATATTTTCACTCACTTGCTTCGTTTTATCCCCGGATTATCTCGCACAATGTTTCATTGAAATACCCAAACGTATCACTAATACAACGACGTGTTCTCATCTTAGAAATGCAACGGAAAAGCGTTCCTTTTGAATTACAGGAACTTGTAGCCGGAACTCGTTCCAAGATTGAGAAGGAACGAGGAACGAGCTTGCGTTTCTTGTTTTAGAGGAACGCGTACAACACTGCGTAACCCTTATCGAACGGCGGTGACTACCCCCCCCCCCCCCCCCCCCCCTCCTTCCTTTGCTGCGGAGGCTGACGTCCCTTCCGAGTGGGAATTACCACGCTCTTTCTTTGCGTCCAGTTTCAGTGTCTCCCGTCTTCGCGTTTTAAATTTGTCAGAGAGTGGCGAGGGGTAGAATTTAGTTATTTTAAGCCTAATACCTGATATGGTACAATCTGACGACGGGCAGCAGATCTGTATTTAAACTGCTCCAATTAAAATTACTTTTTGAAAACTAATTAGGGGACCTGATGTAATTATTGGCTAATCGGCACTTTTTTACACTTGTAACGTGACGTCTGCTGCGGTCGATAACTTTATGCCGAAGGAATAATTTCTTTATTTTAGGTGTCCTTTTCTTTTATTATTTTCCGATCTAGAAAAAAACGCCCAGAGTAGCATCAACATATATTTTGGAGAGTAAGTCAAACAGTTCATAAAACTTGGTGTTTCCCGACAATATGTTAGAGATCGCTGCACTGCACCAAACGCTATACATGCCTTGCACCTGCGTCACATGATGACGACGATCACCGGTAACCACCATGATGGCTGTTGAGGCAACGCTCATTTGCAGCGAAAGCCTGCGAATGACCGTTCCCTGGCAGAATAAAAGGGTGACAACAGGGCACGATTGTAACTTTGTTCCACGAAACCTGAATGTGCGACAATAATAGGACGAGGCAATCACAATGCTTACCTGATTTACCAAGCGACTGATCGCGAACTACAATACTTGGCATGAACACCATATTTCACGGACGAATTAATACTTATTTGAAACCGACCTTTCAGTATGGGTTATGATTATAATGCAATGAAATACAAAAGTGCAAGCGAGCTGGACAAGAATGGCAAAAATAATCCCCGGAGAAAGGAAACAAGGGGGACAAAAGAGAAAAACAAATATCCAAACACAGCTAGGTGACGGGCGCGCGACCGGAAAAATTCGCCCGGATCCCCCGGCCCTGGGGGTGGGAGGGGGGGGGGGGGGGGGAGGGGTTAATTAGACCAGACTTTTTCCCTCCAAAGGCCGGGGGGCGGTGCCCTTGGCATCCCTTGGGCGCCGCCGGCCAGTGTTTGCCCTGCCCAGCGGCGGCTGTTTCGGGGTGGGCGATGGCAAAACATATGCTTTGCCTCCCACTTTGAGAACTGGGGAGGGTGGGGCTCGGGGGGGTGGGGGGCGGGGGGGGGGGGGGGGGGGGGGGACCCCTCGTTGCTACGCCGATGTCGGCTTGTGTCTCCCGCGAAAACGGTGACCTTTGCAAAGAGCGAATCATGCAGGCGACCTGCTTAGGAAACATCATAATCTAAACGAGGAGGAGAGTCCTCTTGTCTGTTATTCATTTCTCCTTGTCTCCGGGTTTAGATTATGACGGTAACCTTGTGTTGTTTACCAGCGCTTCGCAAAATCGTAACAATTTTACTACAAGCGCGCTCGTAAAAATGTCGGGTACGTAATAAGTCTCCTTTTTTTTTTTTTTTTTTGTCGACACGACAGTTTGTTTGCCCGTAGAGCAATCGCACCAACGCCGAAACATTCCGCACGTACTAGTTGAACGTCATCATAGTAAGCTCGGCACATTTTTAGAAGGTCACATATAAAAAAAAAAAAACTGGGTACCTTTATTGAAAATATTGTGCATGTCAACGCATGCCCGGGCAGTTAGTGGCATCCCACTCCTTGGTTAGCGCTAAGCGCATCCGAGCGGTGTGAAATCGACCACCGGCATGGTACGGGGCCTTGTCCTTTCCTAGCGTGACGTCAAGTGCAAGACATGTATACGGCAGCCTTCCGTAAAGGCTGCTTGTTTAGCTGAATTGTGTGATCATATTTAGGTACTCACGAATAGGAATTAGGGTCATCAAGGTGAAGGTGAAGTCATCGGACCACCGGGGCAGTTTCGTAAGCCTTTGCACCGTGAACCCCAGAGCAACCACAGACGACAAAAGACCGAAGCCAAGCAGAAACTTTTCAGAACAGGAGAAACTGAAGGGATGTCTGACCTGTGGAAGAAAGGGAGACAGTTTTCAGCACAGTCATATATTCAATATCCAGCTCGCAGAATTTGTTTTTTCGTCAGATGCACCGACATTGTAAAGTATCTAATTTTGTGGTTAACTGAATCGAAGCATAGCAGTAGGTGTCTATTCGAAACCAAGATACGATACGCTTGTAATGATGATGATGATAATAAATCTTTATTGTAGAAGAGATGGCGCTATGGCCTCAGTAGGGAAAGGGGCTAGAGAAGCACAAGTTCACATCCTGCGGCCGTTCGAGCGCGCAAACTTTCATAACGAGGGTAGTGTGTTTTTAGTATAAACGTCATTTTTTGGGGTGACCCAGTTCTGCAGATTTTGGATGCATGGGTTTAGGTACTCGGCTATTTTTTTCTATAAGCCGGTGCAGTCCCATAAGAGGAGCTGAACAGTGGGAAGAACGCCGGCGAAACACGTAGTACAGATTACCGGCGTTTTTGATCACGACTCTTCCTTGCTCTCCGGCATCTGATCTGGTGGGCGGCCCCTCCGCGGCTTGTGGTCTTGCCATCTGGCAATTACATCCTCTGTGAGCAAAGCGCCGGCACGGACTTTGTGTACCGGCACTTGTGCCCCCCGAGGAAGTCGCTTGGATAACGGTGCGTAATTGTAAGGTGTCTATTCTTGCCACATCTTGGCGGGCCACAGCTTCCCGTTCGTGGAGTTATGGGTCTGCAATGCGAGCGGGACTGAGATTCCCGGGTTGAACCGGCCTTCCCTGTGCTCGCTCGCCCACGTGTAAGCAGCCTCGTTAGTGATGTCGCCTGCGTGTTTCGGGACCCAATTCGCGACTCCAGCGACCTATAGGGGGCGCTACCACCAAACAAACATGGCGGTTGAGTCCAGGTCGCGGCGGCTCGGCCGGGCCGCCTGAACAGGTGGTGCGTTCAATTGAACAGATTTTCTTTTGTTTAATGCCCAATTTTATAGGTATTTGGACTGAGACGGTTAAGTGTAGCCGGTGCAGATAAACTTTCAAAGCATAGTTTTGTTTTGCCGGTGTTTTTTTTTTTTTGTTTTTTTCGTGTCAAACTTTCGTTTCGGAGATTTCGTTCAAAACCGAAACTATGGGCTCGGGAGAGACGGTAATATACTAATCAGTTTTGATCATCTAAGGAAAGCGGCGATGACTATAGAATTGTTCCACAGAGAGTAACTTTTCAGCTAACTCGCGTGCCTCGACCATGCGACTTATCTGTCCGCGAAATCGAGGTTTTGTGCGTATTCCCGTTTACGAAACAGCTCCAGTCGTCTGCTCGGCCAACAACACAGGCTGCAGAAAAATCACGAAAATTAAGCAACCGCTTCTTGAGCCAAGGACCATGTTAACCCGCCGCCGCCCTACTAAGCAGCTGATACTTGTATTTCAATTCAGGTTTTAGTAGCAATCGAGAAGTCATTTTGACGAGCGGGTTATGTATTATATTACGCACTATGGGGGGGGGGGGGGGGTCCCACTAACGCGATATTAGTATATCCTTCGGGTTGAAATATGAGCTTAGTTGACTAGCTATTAGGTGAGCTGCTGAATAAAAGTATATTTGACAGACGGAGACATACTACTTAAACTTAGCCAAATGGTTCTATAGCCGGCAGCACGGAGACAAACTGAAGAGAGTCTTCATTGAAGATCCACGCAGAACCTCTCTGCATTGAACTTTGCTTCAAATTCTGAACGGAGAAAATTAGTATTTTTTTGTGGCCGGTCAACCTAATCAATGTAGACGTATACAGCCACTGGCTTCGACGTCCTCGTAATATAAATATTGGAGGCATGATAGGTCAAAATGCCGTGACAGCATCTAATGTTGCGAGACTTGTCTCCCACCTTTTGAAAACAGATAATTTCCCTCATTCATCACTTGCAGCGAGCAAGTTTTCCTGAATCAAGTAATTGCGAAATCAGCCCAACTGCTTCAGTGTGGTCCAGAGGCTTTTTCGGCGAAAAGCAGCCAAGATGAATAGCCAACGCACCGACCGGCGTGGGTGGCTCAAACTTGAAGCTAACCGAACACAACCAAACTCAAGAAAAACAGCTATCGAACCTTCCCATTCACTTGACTGCAACATTGATGTTCCTTCCAGTATCAGTTACCATGCAGTCGTCACTTTGAGCGTGATTCGAGACAGACAAGAAATCAAAAAGTTTTTCCGTGATTCCTCCCCATCCAAGAAATCGAATGCGCGCGACCGTGTGCTGTGGAGTAAACGGGCTTTCAAACACGTAATAGAAGAAAACAATCTACTAAGGCTTCACCACACTAATGATCACTCAGGGAAACTTAAGAAATATTCGGACCTTCGTCAAATTACATTGTTCGCCCCCGCGCCGACAACACGCCCCCGCGAAAGCCACCAAAGACGCGGAGGGGCGCGGAGCGACCTGGACCGGCTGGTTCCCGGTTTTCCCGCTTGGCGGCGTCCGTTTTGCTGGAGTCGCGAATAGCCCTTTTGCGAAATCCCCCAAGCGCCCTGGCCCGCGCGCGAGGAATTATGGGAGAGATTGTCCCTCGCCTGGCCGCTCTGCCTTGAGATCACATTGCCTTGTCGCTTGTCTCCTCTTAATCCTCTGTTTTTCGATTCCATTACCTATTTTTATCTATATACCAGTGTATTTTCTACTGCTTCTAAGTGTTTCTTCTCTCTTCTGCGCGCGATAATTCTAGTAGATATTTGGTATTTGTGTCTTGATTTGTCTTTTTCGACGGAAGTGCCGACGGACAACAGGCCGCTCGCGCGTCATTCCCCGGGAGAGTACTACCGCTGCTATCGACTCCTACCGCGCTGTTAGCTGCTCATTTTGGTTAATTTGACCCTTGTGCAGTCGAGAGGAGCCGTTTATGAATACCCGCACACATGTCATCGGCGTAGGCAGAGCTCTGAATCAACAATCGCGACGCGAGAGCCGAGAGCGCTGTGTTTAGGCCGTCCGCGCTCGCTCCATTGACTCGCACTGTAGCGTATGCCTTCGAGTTCCGCTTATTTAACCAAGATACAGCACGCCGCTTTGTCGCCGTGAACCATTTTTCCGAATGTTTGCGAAGCTGAGGCATATGCAATGTTACGGCGTCTGACAACTGCGCTCTGCGGCGCGATCCCTTCGCAAACACTGACGGCTCAATGTCGCGGCTTGAATGCGCCTATGGCATGCCTCCGTAATCCATCTACTAAGCTGTTGTCAGCTGCCAAGGCCCTTTTTCAAGTAGTGCAGAGATGCCTTGCCGCGAATCATTTGTCCGAATGCCTGCGAAGCCGTAACACCGTTCGTTATATCCAACGCTGCGGTGCCTGACAAACTTCGCGCAGCGGCGCCAGCCCTTCGCAAGCGCCGGTGGCCCGACGTCGCGGCTTGTATGCGCTTATGGTATGCCTTCTTAATCTATCTGCTCAGCGGTTCTCAGTTGCAAACCCAACTTTTCAGGTGCAGAAATGTGCTGTTACCCAGGCAGTTATCTTGAAACTCGTAGTTCCTTCGATAATTTTATTTCTCTAGAGTCAAGATGTTACCTCAAAGTATTTTATTTTTTTAGGTCACCTTCAGCAGCAACATGCCCGGTGGTAGTTTGCTGTGTGCCAGGCTGTGGAAACAATACTGCCAGGGCACATCATATTTACTGGCACCACTTTCCAAAAGACAGCGCCCTGCGAAGCGCTTGGGTGAGGACAACAGCGTGCAGTTGTCAGGCGCCGCAGCGTTGGATATGACGAACGGTGTTACGGCTTCGCAGGCATTCGGACAAATGATTCGCGGCAACACATCTCTGCACTTGAAAAAAAATGTTCAGCCTTTCTACTCTCGTAAAGAAGGAAGACCAGCGGAGCTGAACTCGATACACTGCCGCAACGCGCCCGTTTCGCGCTTTTTCTCGTCCGACACCCCGCCGATCGTAGATACGCCTCCGGCGAGCGAGAGTCGGTCGCACACGGCGCACGTGACGCGAAACTCCCTCCGGAACGTCGCCGTCGCGGCCGTGAACTGTTCAGCCGGCGTGGAGTGTAATCGTCGCCGGGCCTCGCGCTTGCACTTGCCCTCCGTGGCACGATCGTCGTCCGTGGCGTTGGCCCGCCGGCGCCCTTTACATCACTGGTTCTGTTCTCGGCGGCGGCTTTCCAGGCGACCGATGTGGTCTTCTTTGGCAAGGGAATCTGAAGCGCTCGACGCAGTGGAAGTGGAGGCGAAAGCGGCTTTGCGGCGGTTACGGACCCATTCGCGCTGCTGCGTACGTCCCCGCTCCTTCCGCAGCCAGTCTTCTTTCCCGAAAGGGCACGCGGCTGACCCATCCTGAGTCCAAACCTAAACTGATAAGAGCGTAGGAAACAGTGCGCAAAACAGACGAGGACGAAGAAACACGTGTCACGAGCGCTGCGCTCGTTACATGTGCTACTCCTTTGTCGTCTGTTTTTCGCGCGGTTTCCTACGATGAATTCCCACCAAAGCGCCGCCCAACTATCCATTCTTGTATGATAGCTGGAAAGGTTGGCGCCATCTACTAGTGACGGCGGCAACCATACTGGTTGTGTGCTTGCCGCCGTCGCTTATAGATGGTGGTAGCTGTCCAGAGGTGTTTTTGTCGACAAGTGTCTTGTACCGGACACGATCCTCGGGAACCTAGCCCTTAACTGCTCCACAGTAAAAGGGTGTTGGCAACTGACAACAGCTTAGCACATAGATTACGAAGGCATGCCATAGGCGTATTCAAACCGCGATATTGAGCCGTCGACGTTTGCGAAGGGATCACGCCGCAGCGTGCAGTTGTCAGACGCCGTAGCGTTGCATATGCCTCAGCTTTGCAAACATTCGGACAAATGGGTCGCGGCGACAAAGCGCCGTGCTTTATGTTGGTTAAGTAAGCGGAACTTCAAGGCATACGCTACAATGTGAGTCAATGGTGCGAGCGCGGGCGGCCAAATCACAGCGTACTCGGCTCTCGCGTCGCGATTGTTGATTTAGAGATCTGCCTACC